AAATTATCAATGGTTTATAAATTTTAAGTAAAAGATTGGTGTGAAGGTAAATTTAATATATTAAGTTGAAGAAAAGAAACCGATTAATTATTTAATTGTTCTAATTTATTATGACTTTTAAGTGTCTTGAGCCTTAGGCTGTGGTTCATAGAACTATGGGTACAAAATCCAATGCAAAGGGTTAAATGGTACATTTTGAAATAAAAAAAAGATTTTTTTTTTTCTGCAGAGATTAAGACTGCCTTTTATTAAACAATCTGTTTTTGTTTTTTTTGTTTTTACATGTCATTGCTGCACAGCCTGCACTTCATCCAATTCAAGGCTTGTTTTTTTTTCTTTCTGCAGCCTCCCTCGAGTTTCTTTTGCATGCTCTTTATTAAAGGGGGATTTTTTCTTAGTCTTATCTGGCAGCACCTGTTGCTGAACCTATTTTAATAAAGCCTTGTTAGGCTCCTTTCAACCATGCCTTAGAAGATAATCCTTTGCTCTCTGTATGTGTGCCATCATATCATGCATCAGTTAGCCTCAACAACTAGTTGCCTTCAGTTTTTTGAGATGACGAGGTCAGTTGGTAAACGAAACCAGCAAATAGTGCTGCTGCAGTCACTGCTGAGGCCAAAAAACTGGAAAAACTGCTTTGGCTTATGTGACCAGAGGTTGTCTCGGCTATAGAATTATAAATGCACATTTTCTTTTTAGAAAAATCAAATTACTAATACTGGTGAACTGCAATAAGTTTATTTGACAGATTTACACAGTATACAAACTATGCTAAATACACATATATATATATTAGGCTAGTAGAAAAGTTTTCATATAGATTTAGAAGGAAGCACTTTTCTTCCTTTTTAGTATGCAAATTAAACAAGTCATCTTATATACTAATATTTTTAAAATAATCTTTTCCATAGATATGCTTTTGTCTATTTTAACCAAACTAACATCATAAGCTCTTCCATATTGTATCGATTTAATCGCCTTGGGGTAATTTGGTCAGGTACAGGTTTTTTAAATAAAATTAGTACTAGTTTCAGGTGAGAGGGGTGGGGGAGGGGGTGGGCAAGGGAGGGGTGTATGCTTTAAGCATTATGGCAGAAATGTTACTCTTTGTCTCAAGTATTAAGATTGTAATCTTTTTTCCATTTTAATATTTCTGCTGACAGGGACCCAGATTTCTAATTCTTTGTAATATTATTTGTAGCTGTGTTTGCTGTGGTTCACAGAGCGTTTATTTACTAAACAGATGCTTACTGAACACTGCCTGAAACTGAAGGTTACTGGCTTGTAACTACCTTTGGTTGTGCCTTCTTGACAGTTTGTATGGACTTACAAATATTTTGGGGGAGGGGTAACAAATCTATTTTTCCACAATGTTGATTGAAATGTTTTCTGCTGAAAGTCAGTGATGTTGTTGTAATTTGCAGTGTGTTTGTGTCTATTTTTCAAGTTGTTTTTTGGTTTTTAAACTGCCATTATTTAATCATTAATCCCCAATGCAAACTTTTGGATTATTGAGATTTTTATCAAGATGGGAAACGTGATCTTTACTTTGTTGTCCAATCAGAACAGTTTTCTCTTTTCAGTTGATATATGCCAAAGACTTATGTCTTGCCAAAATCTAACATGTGCAATAAAAGTATATACCATTATAGTATTTCAAAATTTTGTACTAATTATAAGATCAATAAGAAAATCATTGCGAGTCATTTGTAGTGAATGTCTGTGATTTTAAATGTTGTCACTGTGTTTCTGTGTTCAGACATTTAATAGGTGTTGTATGAGAATAAATTGGACAGACATTTCTACAGATATAGCAATATTGAGAAGAAACCTATAATTTTGTACTATTTAACAAGTTTTGTAGATTTACAAAACATTAATGTTTGCAATATTCTTAAACCAAATATATGAATAAAATTCGTGCAAGAAGTTTTGTGGACCACAGCAATTCACATTTATCTGTACATATAGAGAATCTTCTAAAAGAGAAAATGCAATTATTATGAATATATTATGTTATCATGCACTTTAAGGTTGGGTTGCGTATTTTTAATTCAAAAAAGGTGATTATTTTCTTGTATATTTTGGTTCAAATATTAAAAGTTTTTCTTTAAGAATGAATACCTTTTTCTAGGCTTTATTGTATTTATTCATAGAAATTGAATCAATTATTTTTTTTATTTATTGTGCGGGAAGTGCAGTTAAATTGCAAAGTTGTTTATGGTATTAGAAACCCCACAACTGTAGATGGCACACTGATGGGATGTTTTGTTACTCTAAGTTCAAGTGCATCCTCAACACGTATAAATTCATTTCCATTTGTTTGTGGTTAACAGGTTTGATAATCTGTGACTGTACTTTGATTTGAAATAAAATTAGAGAGGTCAACTAAATACAATATGCAATGGTTAAGTGGCTTATGTACGTATCTATAGGCTAAAATTAAGCATTTCTTGATAAGTTAATGGTGATTAGTCAAGTCTTAAAATCTTTTTAAAGTTTGCTGCTTCACGTCGACTGTATTCTTTAAGAATTGATGTTTGCATATTGGAAGAACTACTCCCTTCAGATGCCTTTATTTGGAACCGCTCAAGAGCAATTTGTTTTACTGAGCACAAGAACACAATTATGTGGTTTATACGGCGGTGTTTTACGTGATGGTAATCTCTCTAAGAGAAGCCACTTAACCCTTGCTGCATTCAATAGGATGTGCTGAAAACCAGAGTTTAATATTTTTTAATAATACGTTATCTTGGCTACAGATGGTTTGATATTACAATATTACAATTCTGACAGCACTAGTACTTCATCAGAAATCATTGTGGGTCACGCAACTGGGTATCAATATTCCCAGAGCGCTGTCTTCATCGTAATCCATTCCCGCTGGATTCTCCATGTCATATAGTACTTCCAGCAACATCACTCTATTTTGATTTGCCAGTTTCTTGCTTATTCTTCCATGACACTGTGACAACTGTCCATTGTCATGCAAATAAGCCAGAGACAACTAGAATCATAAATGATGTCTGATTACATTTCACTACGTTTACAGTATCCGTTACAAATGCACAAAAGAAACGCCAATCCACGACTCTGATAAGACCAACTTGTTTTTAATATAATATTCTTCCATTTGCAACAATCTAATTGAAATTTTATTTTAATAAAGAAGTTGAGCAATAATTATTTTTTACCACAAGTGCCTTTTATGAAAATTCAACTGATGTAACAAATTTTGACTTTGAATAGGCATGAATACCATGTGTGTACATTTTGGGTGTGGTTACACATTTGTAGTCAGATTAAATAGAATGACTATTTCACTTGTCTTCCGCACCCCACCCAGAAAAAAAAGAAATAATAATATTGAGTCTTTAATGCTAAGCATGGTAGAAATGAATGATGACCTTCAAGACGAGACAAAGCCCCCCCCCCCTACCAGCAATATTTCATAGAACCCAGTAATTGTCCCGTCTTTTAGGAAGAGTTAAATAGATGTTTGCTGAAACCCAAAATGATAAATTACCATGACACTAGATTAAAATATTACTGAATGTGTTTTAGTGGCTATTTTACATCTTGTGTGTATATATTTATAGCTGACGGTCTGCCAAGCTGATACACTGTAACTGTGTGCCGTTTATTGTTATGTAAATTATATTTAGATAAGGACACATGCACTCATGTTGACATGGTCGTTGTATTCTTGTGGAATACATGTGCTGTAAACATCTTGAACGAATTTTAAAACTGATCATAATCATGTGCATTAAAATAACCCATCAGTGTGCCAAAACTGCATTTATATTGTTAAAAAAAAAATTTAAGTACATTTAAATTTTATTTCCAGTTTTAGCCAAATTTACAAACACTAAATTTAGTGTTAGCCTTTAGTCACTTTAAACTATGCATCCTTCTAGGGATTGAGAGCTGCATGGTAGTGTTAGTTCTTCATCCCATATGTCTCTTGCTCTAGACTTTACGGTATTAATATTATAAAAGAGGTGAGCGGTTACAGGGAATATTGTCTCCTATTTCACATCAAATCTTCCATTTAACTTGATTCATTTTTTCAAAAGATAGAAACAAAAAATAAATAAAAAAAGCTTTAATATATTATGAAAGTTTTTTTTCTGACATTTTCAAGGTGCCTTCTCGTTCACTCCTTGTAATTTTTCATCAGACATTTAAATAAAAAAAAAAATTGTTGATCATTCTCACTTTTCATAATTTTTACACTAGTTTTCTATCGTAGTGTAATGCAATAAGAAAAATACAATACTTTTCAGTGGATTCAAGTTTAGATGTATATTTTACGTCATTTGTTGATTTATTTTAGTGTTTCTGTTTTTTTCATCCAAGTACTTGCAGGTACTTTTTTATTGCAGGTAACATGCAATACTATCTCCTCATAGCAGTTTAAATATTATTCTAATACTGGTTTAATATTAATATATTCTTGGATTGATTATTCCTCTATAACATTAAAATCAATATTGGAAAACACATTAAAATCTTTGTCTTTTGTTTCTTCCCTCCATTCTTTCGTTCATGATATGGTGTGCGTGTAGTAGCGAGATAAGATATTCAAGTCTTTGTATGACGTATGTGGTACCTTTATTAACTGGGGAATTTTCTCACTGGTGGGTTTCATCAGATATTGCCTTTCATTTTCTCCAGTGTAATTTTTTCTCCGGAATTTAATTTCTAAGGAGTGAATTCCCTGAAGG